ACATTTGTCTTGGAATCTAGCTGTTTTTTGTTTTGTTACCTTTTCCTTTTAGCCATCCTATTTGTTAAAAAACAAAAACAAAAAAAAAAAAAAAACTGTATTATGCTTTTTTATAACTGTTTATTGTTGTTGCTGTTGTCCATTGTTGTCATCTTTCTTTGTTGAAATCAGGTCTCTCTTGTAAATGAGTCCTCAAGGCTCAATGGGATTACCTGTCTAAAGGCTGAATGAATGAATGGGCATGCTCCAACCACCTGCTATATAAATTGTATATGACACAGCGCCCCCAGAGGTGATCCAGAGCACTACAAGCCTCACCCTGCATTGTTTCAACAGGCAATGCGTAAAGTCCGCGATTTTGACCACTGAAGTGTTGAAATAATTCAGAAAACAGTTTTATTAAACACTTTTATAGAACAGTCGCGTGGTCAAATGTATTTTCTCTTGTCAATGTTAGTATTTTACTTGTCATAATGACAGGTGAGGCTCTGCCTCACTTGCCTCCCCTGACTGCACATCTCTGGTGCGCTGTATAATATATATAATATGTAATAATAATAATAATAATATTTATTATTATTATTATTATTATTATCCATTATTATTATGGATGGAAGGATGGATGCAGGGATAATAATAATATTTATTATTATTATTATCCCTGCATCCATCCATCCTTCCATCCATCCATTCATCCATCCATCCTCCATTATCTTCCACTTGTTCTGAAGTTGGGTCGCGGGGACAGCAGTTTGAGGTCCAGACATCTCTTTCCACAGCCACCTCTTCCAGCTCTTCTCGGAGGATTCCAAGGCATTCCAAGGTCAAATGAGAGACATTCATTCAACCTTTATTTAGACAGGTTAATCCCATTGAGCCTTGAGGACTCAATTAAAGACCTGATTTCAACAAAGAATGATGACAACAGTGGACAACAACAACAACAACAAAAATAGACAGTTATAAAAAAAGGCTTTTTTTTTTACATAGTCTCTCCAGTGTGTCCTGGGTCTTCCCAGGGAAGTTCTCCAAGCCGGACATGCTTGAAGCACCTCTCTAAGGAGGTGCCAGGGAGCATCCTTACCAGATGCCAGAACCACCTCAACTGGTTCCTCTCAATGTGGAGGAGCAGGGGCTCTACTCCAACTTTCTCCTGGATAATTGAACTTCTCACCCCATCTCTAAGGTAGAGTCCAGCTACTCTGCGGAGGAAACTCATTTCAACCACCTGTAGCCATGATATTCTTTTTTCACCCTTAGAGCTCATGACCATAGGTGAGGGCAGACCGACCGGTAAACAGAGAGCTTTGGCTTACAGCTCAGGTCCCTCTTCACCACAACGGACCAGCACAAAGTCTGCAATACTGCAGATGCTGCACCTTCTGCCAGTCTCACTCTCAATTCTTACCACACTCATGAACAAAATCCCGAGATACTTGAACTCAGGCAGAACCTCACCTTCAACAAACTCACGCTCGACCCAAAGAGAGCAATCCACCCAGTTCTGACTGAGGACCATGGCCTCAGATATGGAGGTGCTGATTCTCATCCCAGCCGCTTCACATTCAGCTGCGAACCGCTCCAGTGAGAGCTGAAGATCATGGCACGATGACACGAACAGGACCATGGAATCCAGAGTCCACCGAACCAGAATCCCTCCACCCTCTGACTGCACCGAGAAACTCTGTCCATAAAAATTATGAACAGAACCGGTGACAACGGGCAGCTCTGGCAGACTCCAACTCCCACCCTGAAGGGGTCCGACTTACTACTGGCAATACGAACCAAACATTCGCACCACTTGTATAGAAGCTGAACAGCCCGTAACAATGGGCCCCTAATCCCATACTCACGGAGCACCCCCACAGTACTCCGAGGAACATGATTGAATGCCTTCTCCAAGTCCACAAAACACATGTAGACTGGATGAGCAAATTCCCATGACCCTTGAGGACCTTAGTGAGGGTAAAGTGCTGGTCCAGTGTTCCAAGGCCAGGATGGAACCCACAGTGTTCCTCCTGCTGAGGTTTGACCAACGATTGGACTCGCTTCTCCAGTACCCCTGAATAGACGTTACTAGGGAGGGTAAGGAGATGCCCCTACAACTGGAGCACCATCTGGTCCCTCTTTTTGAAGAGGGAACCACCACCCCAGTCTGCCAATCCAGTGGCACTGCCCCGATGTCCATGCGATGTGGCAAAGGCGTGTCAACAAAGACAGCCCCACAACATCCAGAGCCTTAAGGAAATCAGGACGGATCTCTTCCACCCCCGGAGCCCTGCCGCCTCTGAGCTTTTAAACTTCCTCGGCAACCTCAGTCACAGTTATGGACAGACCAGTCCCAAAGTCCCTGACTCAGCTTCCTCCATGGAAGACGTGCCAGAGAGATTGATAAGGTCCGACAAGTATTCTTTCCACCTCCTGATGACATCAGTGGTTGATGTCAACAGCACCCCATTTGCACTGAACACAGTGTTAGTAAAGATCTGCTTTCCCCTCCTCAGCCGCCTGATGGTTTGCCAGAATCTCCTCGGAGCTGACAGATAGTCTCTATCCAAGGTCTCATTAAAGTCCTCCCACATCTGAGCTTTACCTCAGCAACAGCCAAGGTTGTGGAGAGGACCACTTGGACCTCCAACAAGGTCAGATTGGACTTCTTCAGCTTGACAGCCTCCCTGACCTGGGGTGTCCACCATCGAGTTTGTGGAGGGCCACGGCAAAAAGCACCAACAACCTTGTAGCCACAGCTCAAGGCAGCAAGATCAATAACTGAGTCGTGGCCCACTCTAACTCAATGTCCCGCGCCTCTGCTGGGATGCAGTTAAAGCTCTTCTGGAGGTGTGAGTTGAAGATATGTTATATCATATGATATATTATATGATTTGATGTAGAGAGAGGGATTCCTTATAAAACTGAAAAGAGAAATGGGCATCACAGGTCGAATGTTTCAATGGATTAAAAAATTCTGTCAGAAAGAGAAATACAAGTAACGATGATGATGATGATGGGGTTTGTGGACGAGAGGGAAAATTTTACAGTTCATTGCTGAAAGTGTACAGAAAGCGACTGTGACGATTGAAAACTGGTCAATTAAACGGAGAGTTAAAATTTTCAGTGTTAAAATAAACAAAGTAAAATATTTTACAATTAAAAAGGTAATTAATGAGATGGAAAAGAACTTGAAAGAGTGAAACAATTAAAAATTCTTAGTATCTGGTTTGATGAGAGAAATAACATGGATAGTGCACATTCAGAAAGTTACTGACGAATGTAAAAAAATGCTAAACACCAGGAGGTGTTTAACAGGACGAGACTGGGAGCTGACAGGAAGTCACTGAGGACCATTATAGGATTAATCCGATCAATATTAGACTACGGAAGTATTGTTTACAACTCAGCTTCAGATATAGATTTAGAAAAGATAAATTGTATTCAGTATCAGGCATTAAGGATTATTACTGGGGCATTTAAAACAACTCCTACAAGGTCGATATTAGAACCACCACTGAACATCTGAAGAGCTCAGTTAGCTCTAAACTACTGGACAAATCTAAAAGGTCATGAATAAAACCATCTAACACAAGAAGTAGTAAAATCATGCTGGGAAAAAGAATAAAATATACACAAAAAGCTTTGGATGGATCATAAATCAGAAAACTATGGAAATTCAACTAGATAATATTAATGTCAGACAACAGTACCACTACCAGTCATACATCTATGAATACTCACAGACCCAATAATAAAACTAAAATAATTAGGAAATAATATAAATAAAACTATTACAACTCAAATACAGTTATAGAATACCATCCATCCATCCATCCATTATCTTTACCCGTTTATTCCATTTTGGGTCACGGGGGTCACTGGTGCCCATGTCCAGCAATCACTGTGCGAAGGGCGGGGTACACCCTGGACGGGTCGCAAGTCCATCACAGGGCCACATAGAAACAAACGAGACAAACAACCATTCACTCCTAGGGACAATTTAGAGTTACCAATTAGCCTAACATGCATGTTTTTGGTCTGTGGGAGGAAACCGGAGTACCCGGAGAAAACCCACGCATGCACGGAGAGAACATGCAAACTCCACCCAGAAGGCCCCTGGACCGGGGTTTGAACCAAGGACCTGCTCGCTGAGAGGCAGCAGCTCTACCAGTTGCGCCACCGTGCTGCCGTTATAGAATACATTAACCAATATTATGAATATGTAAAAATATACTCTGATGCATCAACGAATACAGCACATAGGTTCAGGGCAATATTCATTATTCCTGAGTTTGGAGTGAAAGTAGAGGAGAATACTGTGAGTGACAAGTATCAGTTTACAGGAGAAACGGTGGCAATATTGATCACTGATCAATGGATTGAAGATAATCAACAACTAAGCTCAATAATCTGTTCACATTCCATTTCATAAATAGTTTTTTTCAGAAAGCGGACCAGACATCATGTCTGATTGTGAGCAAACATTATACAGAATTAAGATGATGGGTTTAATTGTTGTGTTTGAATGGATAGCAGCTCATATAGGAATAAGAAGAAAAGAAATAGTAGATAAAGTTGCAACAGAGGCTACCAAAAGCATAAACAGATTTAAAATTCAGTCAAGCAGAAGTAATTAAGCATTATAAAACAGAAAATCAAGGAAAGATGTCAAAAGCAACAAGATGAACATGTTTTATTATACAGCACTGCCAGAAATTGTGAAATAATTCGAATGATTAACAGTGTCACAAAAATAAAAGTAAGGTTAGATTATTCTGAACTGTTAAAGGAGAATTCAAAATCTGACAGTACTAACATTTTATTAATGTTAATTAATTATTAAGATACTTGAAACAGACTCGTTTGTTTGAAAGAAAATGTTTTTTGAGCGTCGTTCCAGTTCACACTCCGAACAGCAGGTGGCGGTAAAGCACCAAATTATTGTTTGCTACCCGCCAAAGAAACACCAGCGGAAAGAAGAAATACACTCGACGTGCGCGTTCACGCGGCGTTCTCGTCTGCTGGAACGCGCGTCACTACCCGCGGATGGCTTGTTGAAGGAAACCGGTGTTGTTGACACTTCTACACTGATTCAATGGCGGTCGAAGTGAGACAGGAGCTTGCACAGCTGATGAATTCAAGCGGATCTCACAAAGATCTCGCTGCTAAGTATGTAGCGCTCAACCGGAAGGAGATAGTTACTCAACAACCTCTTGACAACGTGAACGCCACAGTTATAAGCAGCGAAATAGCAATGCACGACGCTAAGCTAATGTTAGCTACTTAGCTCTTGTCAGCCACACGTTTTGTCAATTAGTGGAGACTTGAACGTTGTTGTTTTTTAGTGCATTTTTATTGTAATATTTTTCTGTAAATATCAATTTCGTCGGTTATAGCCAAAGATAAGGCGAGTAGTGAATCTGCGTTGACGTCTTTCATTACACCTGCTAAATAAAGCTAATTGCTGTTAGCCTCTGGTGCTGACCAAAACAGCTGTAATCGAGTTTCAGCTTAGTTTAGAAGACTTTTAGTCCGAAAAGGCACATTTACTTTAGAAAATTATTGCAAGTCAGTGCAACTTCCGTGCTCGTGTCTTAATCCATTAATATTAGAAACAGTCTCATACAGATTGTACTGGCTGAACTACTTCTTTCACACTAAAAACATGTGGTCATTGATCTTTAATCATTGATATTGCAGTGATAGTGGAGTGACAGTTCCATGCTTTACGGCCAGTTTGTTTAGTTTTGCTGTAAAAGTACTTACAGATGTTAGTGTAAATGTTTATTATAGCGAAGCAGACGTAATCTGATTTGACTGTAGAGAATGTTTATCAGACAATCCCTAAATGTCATTATTCAATAAGTATTACACATTTTCAGTTAAAACTTAGTGTGGTAATGGCTGTGAATGTTCCTCCGCAACACATGCTTCAAGAGCTAATACCTCCTGTAATGTTGTGTATTGTTTTTGTGCTGTCAGTGCTGAGCGTATTCTTAGTTTAGTGTGTTTTTTAGTTCATATCTTAGATGTTATTACTGTTTTTCTTGTACAATTTATACTTTTGTTGGATGTAACTGGGACCCTGTGTACACAATTTCGTTCCACTACATGTACCACATGAGATGCGAATGACGTTAAAGAAACCTTGACCTTGAATATCTCGCACGTTACGTCATTTCGAGTGTTTGTCCAAAGTAGCCATAACTTCATCTCTTCTCATGATGCTTGTGTAAGATGTTAGCATGAAATGTTTTTTTTTAATGATAGCTCTTTTAAATCAAATAGTCATATACCTGTCAAAGTACAAATATGAAGTTTGTTTTTCAGAATTACCTTCTAAAACAACACCAGTGTGTTGGATGTTCAATAGCACACAGGCTTACCTCTTGTACACCAGAGGACTTGCACGGTCCTATTTAAAGGATTACACTCATGGCAGTTGATGTCATTTTCTGGAAAACAGCGAGTACAGAATATGTTCACAGCAGCACATCTGCTAAACGACAAGCAACTGAGTAAAAAAAAACAGAACTTTGTGTAGCATGTTGGGCTGAAGAGAGCAGTGAATGTGTCAAAAACCATAGTAACAAGCCGAGGTGACGTGAATTGGAGGACATATCTTGAAGGGGCAGCATCTTCTCACAACAATGTCTATTCACATTCATTATGTCCAAACAATAATAAATACATGTGGGTGGCAACAGCTTATGAGATGAGCTTTAAAAGATTCAAGTATCGTTTCTTTTAAACATTTGTGGCTTCTAATTAGTAAAATCTTTTGCAGATACAGGCAGATTTTGGAGAAGGCCATTCATTTCACAGACTCAGACCAGCTGGAGTCCTTGAAGGCCTTTGTTGAAGCAAGTATGCAGCTCTTACTTTTTTGTGTGTGTGTGATTAAAAACGGCGTGTTAGAATCTCAGCTGACAATTTTTCTGACCTTTACATTACTCTTGATTTTACAGTGGTCAATGAAAATGTTAGTCTCGTCATCTCAAGACAACTTCTAACTGATTTCTGCACACATCTGCCCAACCTGCCCGACGCTACAGCCAAAGCAGTTTATCACTTCACCTTAGAAAAGATTCAGCCAAGGGTTATCTCCTTTGAGGAACAGGTAAATGCTCTCACACACTCTCAACTCCCACTCAGGTGAGTCCAGTAGTGTTTAATAAGTTCATTCAGTTTTAGTTTATCTCAGTCATCTGACAAAAATGCATTTTAGTTTTAGTCACACATAGTTGTCAGAAGCTAGAGACAGACTGAATAGCCGATATTGATCACTTTAAAAACAGTGTTAGTCAGCCATACTTGGACATAACATATTTAAAAGTAGGGAAATGAAGCCGCAGCTGCTTCAACCAGCTCTGTGTAGACTTCATTCAATCATATCCAAATGATTAGAGCACAAGTTCTTCTAAGAGTGGTGAAATGTATGTTTAGTTTTTTAACTGAATTAAACTTATTATTTGTTAAATGTAAAATAATATTGGCTAAAATAAAAAAAAAAAGTGTTGTATATCAACCATCGCCTGCTCTGATTTTAAAGACTGGCCGACCTCAAGTTATCGCTAATAATTATATTTTTGGTCTATTATTAGCCGACTAAATATTTAAGACTAAATAATTAATATTTAGTTGACTAAATGTTTAGGTCGACTGAATTTACAGTAAAATTGGTGGACTAAAATATAAAGTGTAAAGATCAGTTCAGTTTATTTTTATTAGAACCCGACTGAAATGAAAGTTTTGTCTATCAGATACCGATATTGGGAGGGGAAGGCGACTGCCGATAACCAATTTAATGGCTGAAATTTTTAGCTTTGTCCAAGAATCTAAGTAAACCGTGAGTGGCTTGTTTATTTAGTGCAGCTGTTAGCAACCATCAAGCTAAACAAATTGGATCCACACTATACGTAGTCCCACAGCAGGTTTACAAGTGCACTGGTCATAAGAACAGTCTTCCTAACCCAACAAAGTTAAGTCAGGTCCTCTGGACGGTTTCTTTGTGTTGAGACATTTCGTCCTTCATCCAAAGGACTTCATCAGTCCGAGGAGCCACAACAAACTCAGTCTTAAAAGTACCTTCACATGGTGGCTCTAGCAGTTTGATGGTGCTAAGATGGTTTCTGGAGTCCGCCCTCTCCCCCGTCAACTCCTCCGCCTACGTGGTTCAAAACATCAAACTTCATGCTCAATAATCCAGGAAAAAAAATCCAACAAAGTTAAGGTCAAGGTTTCTTTACTTTCATTCACACCTCATGTGGTACATGTGGTGGAACGAAATTGTGTACACAGGGTCCCAGTTACATCCAACAAAAGTATAAATTGTAAAAGAAAAACAGTAATAAGATCTAAGATATGAACTATGCTAAACTAAGAATAAGCACTAGTAGTACAAAACCAATATGCCAAACACTGTTAAGTCAGAAGATCTGATTTAACTTTGTTGGATTTTTAAAATCTGGATTATTGAGCATGAACTTTGAAGTCTTCCTAACGTGCACGTTCACATTTTCTATCCACTATTCACTGTTCAAGTCATCAAGTGTGTTACAAAATTATACGTACGTAATTAATCACTGCCAATTAATAAACGTTATCTAAGGAAGCAAATATATAGTATCATATCTTGACTTTGTCACAACCTCTCACCTGAGCGCCACACAGGTGACAGTAGAAACAACTTCCTTTTAACAGGAAGAAACCTCCAGCAGAACTAGAAGCAGGCTCAGGATGAGCAGCCATCTGCCTCAGCTGGCCGTCGGTTTCCTGTCCTTTCAAACCTCAGACAAACAGAATGTCTGGTCCAGGTCTAGTTTCTACATGAAGAAAATCAAAAAATATGCTAATGACAGCAGTAAGTATAAACATGGAGAGTACAACATTCACTGGCAACTCTTTCAAAGACTTCAGTTCCCAAAAATTTGACTTGTACCTGAACATTAGTATAACGTGCATTCTGACGTAATCAAGGAACTCACAAGCAAGTCTGAAGTTAAAAAATGGCATTAACTGGACTCTGGTTTATTTTGAGCATCTGATGGTTCTCTTTGCGTCTCTTCTATAAACTCGTCATACTTTCTTGTGATTTAGCAAAAGTGGTGGAAGAGGTTTGTTGCATAGAAGTCTGATGTGAATCTGTCTGCAGCAAAATTTTCTAGCACCCATCAGACTTTTCACAACAGAACCATGTTAATGGTACAGAGGAGAAGCTACTGAGTTTGTTTTGGCTGGTCATTCTGTCTGGAGCTACTGGTTCTGTCTCACCTTCATTGACCAGTGACCATACTGGTATTCTCTGCGCTTGCATCCTCGTGGTGCCACAAACTGTCATTTGTCCATCCATCCATTATCTTTACCCGCTTCTTCCTTTTCGGGTCGCAATGGTCACTGGTGCCCATGTCCAGCCATCACCGTGTGAGAGACGAGGGACACCCTGGCCAGGTCGCAAGTTCATCACAGGACCACATGCTGTGTATATCTATATCTATATCTATATATATATATATACATATATATATATATATATAGATATATATATCTATATAGATATATATATCTATATATATATAT